TAAAATACACAAACATATACATGCATGTGTGTATGTGTATATACAAATATCTTTACATACTTATACATATAGAGTAAAATAGAATAGTTATGGATTTTATTTATATATTTTTTATGGAAAAATGATTTAAATATCAAAATTTTTAAATCAAAAGATTTAAAATAATATTTTTTTAAGTTTTTTACTTTATTTGATTAAAAAAAATTTATTCCATTCTACATTGACATTTGGGGAGAATGAAATATGCAAATATATGTGTAATTAAAACTTTTTGGGACTTTTTACACTTAAATTGGTTTGCAGTTAATATTTTCGTTGAACTTGTAGCTTGATTTATTTGCTGTTCGCCATTGGAGCTAAACTTTTTTTGCTCTCAGCATCTTTCAACCTGTAAAGTATTTTCAGCTTTGTTGAGACACTCCCCTTCGAATCTTGCCACAATTTGTGTCAACGTGTTGGGTATGAAACATTTGTTAAAAAACTGTTGCATGTGATTGGGCTGATCAACCTCTTTTTGAATTTCCTTTAGAATAGCCAGAGTTACTACAACATTTGTTACAACAGGTTGTTTGCAGACAGAGTGACAGACTTTTGAGGTGACTTTAAAGCTGATGCTATGTGACATATGCTGATGGTAGATGTTGGTGTAGATTCAGAGGGCAGTGGCTGAGGTAGTGTTGTTCCTGGTGCTAGTATTGGTGATGGTACTATCGTAGATTCTGGTTGTTGAGATAATAAAGGCTCAGGTTCAGATAACGGTGTTTCAAACGTATTAGTAATTTGCAACTTCCACTGATTGATTTTATTGATGTTGAGTAGAAACAAGCCAGTATCCTGAAACCCAGTGAATATTTGGATACGTGTAAAAACTTCACCAGAGCTGAAAAGTTTTTTTTGCAGGTGACTAAAACATTCTTTTAATCAGTTGCTGAACTTTGTCTCTGCATAAAACTATTGAAGTAATTTTTGCCAAACTCTTTTGACATGGTAATAAATACCAATATCTAGTGGCTGCAGAATATGTGACAAGTGAGCTGGTAAGTAAATTAACAAGATATTGTTTTCGATGCAAATAAGTACGAACCAATAAGCGACATGCGTCACATGTGTCACTGGCATGTTCACGGCATAGGTGAAACAATTGGCAGTGGTTCAAGCACAAGATTGTAAAAACAACTTGAATCAGTTTTGGTAGATACGTTTATCAAATTATCTGATTGGGGCTTTAGTAGAACTTACAATAACATCATTGCATTAGTAACAGACTATTTGTAACATCAAAGTCAATCTCATTTGTTTCCTAATAGTACACCAGGAAAAGATTGGTATAACCTTTTCATAAACCGGTGGAGTCATAGGTTGAGCATCAGAGCCAAATTAGCTTCTCTGAATGATCAAGGTAAGCCAAATACGGTTGGAAATTCCATTAATGCTGCTGATAATCGCCTTGCTCCATACATTATTTTTAAATCAAAAAAATGTCTGTACAGAGATTAGTGTTTTGGCTTATACCTGCTGCATTGAATTCTTTTTGCAGTGTGTTGAAATACTTTGCTACTATTTCTTGCACACAAGAAGTGGCTCTGAGTGATGAAATATTGCCTACGGCTCTAATGCTCAACCTATGACTCCACCGGTTTATGAAAAGGTTATACCAATCTCTTCCTGGTGTATCATTAGGAAACAAATGAGATTGACCTTGATGTTGCAAATAGTCGGTTACTAGTGCGATGATGTTATTGTAAGTTCTACTAAAGCCCCAATCGGATAATTTGATAAACGTATTTATCTGATTCAAGTTGTTTTTAAAACTGATTCAAGTTGTTTTTACAATCTTGTGCTTGAACCATTGCCAATTGTTTCACCTATGCCGTGGACATGCCTGTGACGAGTTGCTACTGGTATGCTGAATGATTTAGCAGATAAATGAAAATTCACTGTTAAATGAAAATTCACTGTTTTGTACTTCAACCATTGCAAGCGCAACTTTATCTTGGGTGTATAGTTTTTCTTTTTTCTTTGCATGCTAGATGTTTCAAGGCATATTTTATATTAAAATAGATTTAACAATCCATTTGAAATTTATGCACAAAATTTATAGAAATAGCTTAGTCACTTGTCACTTAATTAGTTAATAAAAATTGCATTTAACAAGATAACTAGCATATTTCATTCATTCATTAGAATCAATAAAAACAATCAGTAAAAGTTTAACAAGAGAGCATATTTCATTCATTCATTAGAATTAAACTTAATAAAAAATGGTCACTTGAGATTTAATAAAAAAAAAGCCGCAATCAAGAAGTGAGCTATTGCTTCACTTATTGTTACCATATTTCATTCAAACCCACAATTCTTCTTTTCTATTTTTTACTCATAACTTTTTTTCCTAAATAGCAAATTTAATTTTGAAAAAAGATTCTTGATCAGCACAAAAAGTTATAACAGAAAACCTTTTAAGTTCAATGATATCAAATTTAATTGCTGAGAATTTTAAGTACATTTATCAAAATAATAAAAAATTCTTATTACGCATATGAAAACTTAAAAATTTAAAGAGCAATGAAAACGTTTTTTTTTGCAGTAAAAGTTCGTCATAGCTATATAGTACCATCCCAAACTTAAACCCTCAATGATGTCTGTACTAAAGCTCTCGTAGATGGTTATTTCAGTAGACACCATGAGTGAAATTTAAATATAACACTAAGAATGCAAAGATATTTATGTGTGTGGGTATATATATATATATATATATATATATATATATATATATATATATATATATATATATATATATATATATATATATATATATATATATATATATATATATATTAGGTCTAGGTGGAAAGTTCTGTCCATTTTTAAAACAAGATATATCACTTTATAATAAAGATTTACGTGAAATAACTTTGTTTGAGTTAATTTTCTATACATGTATGAATATGTTAAAGGATAAAAATAATAAGCCAAACATGCACTATATAAACATGCTCTAACCTGTTGAAAGTTGTTTTTATAGAAATGGACAGAACTTTTCAGTAGACCAAATATATATATATATATATATATATATATATATATATATATATATATATATATATATATATATATATATTCATATTTTTATGTATGTATGTATGTATGTATGTATGTATGTATGTATGTATGTATGTATATACATCATATACTAGATAGGAAAGACATTTATTATAAAACTAAATAAACTTTTAAATGTCACCTATATGTTAAAGAAATTACATTAGTTGTGTGATAAAATAATTTTATCATTTAAACAAAAGATGCTCATCTTTTATATATTTTTATTTTATTTTCATATAAAGTGTGATACATCAACGGATATACCTATAGACACAGCGGAGTAAAGTAAAACTGCTTAAAAAAATAAAGTTAATCATTTTATATTAACCATTATTATTTTTTCTGCAGTCACAACAAGTTAAAAAAGTTACTTTTATATGTAACAATTCATAATACTTTAAATGTATTAACTTATTATACTTTATATGTGACAATAATAAGCTAATAATGCAAATATAAAGAATAGTATAGGCTAAATTATTTGATTAAACACATACAATGTATTTATTATATCACCATACTGCATATGTGGTAATTGGATAATGACAACAAATGTGATAAAAATTGTTTACATAAAAACTAACAATAAAAAACATCAACAAAAAAAAATATTAGGTGTAAATAATACTTACTTATGTTTGACACATTTCTGCAACCAGATGCCGAATTTTGAAAAATAAATATTTGGTGTTAAGCGCATAAATATATGTCCTCTAACATTTGTGGAATCCATCTTGATGTACAATAGATCACAAAATTGAGAAAAACTGTTGAATCCTAAATACAAATAGTGTATATAACAATATATTAAAATATGTTAACATGATAAAATATATCAGGGTTGGCACCAAAAAAACCCAAACCAAAAACCCACCCAAAAACTCAAGAGCAAAAACCCACCAAAAAACCAACTTAATGTATTTTTGATCTTTGGTAACCCAACTTAATGGCTTTTTGTATTTATAATATTTCTATTCATAAATTAATTTCCATTCACACTCAAGATTTGATGCTCAAAAATTTTCTTGTTATAATAGCAAGAAGTTTAGTAAATCATAAATGAGATTTTATTTTATTTGGAGTAGAAATATTCAAACTTAAAGGTTTAAAGTAAAGTTAAAACAACTTAGTCATCAGCAATTGTTCATCTTGACCTTAATCTATGTAAATTTGTACAAGCATTTTTGCTTTTCCTCTTCCTAAAAGATTCCTCATATTCCTAAATATCCTGATTCCTAAATCAGGCATCATTTAACCATTCCTTCTTCTTCTTGACTTCTATCCAAGGTTCTTTCATTTCTCAGCTTCTTCTTCTTGACTTCTATCCAATTTTCTTTTTAAATAAATAGGTACAGTTATAAGAGTTATAAGAAACTTAAAAGAAAACTTTTTATCAGTATTTATTTTAATTTAATCAGATGCAAGTTTTTAATTTTTTTACAATTTTATGGTTACCTTTACATTTTGGATCTGTTAAATTGGCCAGAAAATGATATGGAACAATTGTTTTCTTAAACCTCTGTAAAATATAATCCTTGTGTCGTCTTGGATACTATGAGCAATTATAAAATCATTACTAAATGTATTCCAATCAACTTGAATTAGGATAATAGCACAATCATTATCAAGATCATATCATTATATTGATTATTTCTTTGTTACCAGAGTTCTAAAGAAATCTGTTTTCTATTCAATAGGTAGTCAATTCAAGTTTTTCTACTATGTTGAATGGTATATTTGTTGAAAAAAAGAAACCTTTTAACCTGCAAATCCAGTTCATTCTTCTGATTACTTATTGTTGAAGTAACAAATTTAGAAACGGATGTTTGCGGTTGCATCGTCATTGCAGTTAAATAAACAATTGACGAAGATTTACTAATAAAGCTGAAGTAATCTTGATCATTATCTTCTGACTGGTTAGACTTGTTTGATGCTGCAGATGTTGACTCTAAAACTGATGTATTGCTAAATACTTCTACGCATTTTCTTTTTTCTTACTTCTGAATTTATCAAAATGGATCTTAACTCTCACTACTTTTTTAATTATGCTCTCTTTGCAATAATTACACATTACTGTACTTGGTTGATCACTTAATATGATCACTTCATTCTACCCACTAGCCTAATTTCTTCCTTCTAATTTATACTTTGACATGTTAATGTCAAATAAAGACGTATAATTCAATTGTATTTTACATGATATAAAAAAATGCAATCTGATTATAAATTAAGCTTTTGTATAAGAAAATATAACTTTAAAAAATGAAAAATAGCTTTTAAATAACTACAATTTTATCAAATTTTGTTACTAAAGATTTGTACGCAACTTGAGTAAAAACCCAAAAACCCAGTTGGGTTGGGTTTTTGCCAACCCTGAAATATATTAACATGATAATATATTTTAGCATGATAAAATATGTTAACATGATAAAATATATTAACATGTAAAAATAATATAAGCATTAATATTTAATTAAACAAGTTGAAGTAAAAGCAGTACTTATAACATTTTCTTGATTTTCATCAAGCACTTTCCAATATAAGATGGCTTGTAATGGATCCATTTTCGGCCTTAGAAAATGAAGTAAATGCTTCCATTTAGAAAATGTAAGAACCCATGTGGAACCATGTTTGACCTTCAAACAATCGAAAGCTAACTTCATGTTGCGACGCTTGCGGTACACAGAGGCCATAACTCCATTCTTTGAAACAAAACAAAAAAATAAATTAGAACTAAAAACGATGAATTGTAAAAACTGTAAATTTAAAAAAAAAAAAACTGTACTGAATGTTTATATGACCAATTTTATGTTTTAAATTAATCCTTCAATCAAGAAAGATAATCATGTTTAACAAGTAATACAAAATAAAGCAAACATTTTGGCGTTTTTGAAAACAATTACAGGCAATAAAAATTAATTACTCTAACTTTAATAAGTTAACAGTGTTTAAAAATTTTAAAAATATTTCTATTTGAGTTTGCCTTTTTATTATTTTTTACAATTTTTAAATTTATAACAATTTGAAATGAATGTTTTCAAATTTGAAACATTCAAATATGATATTGTAAAATATTCTAATTTCAAGACATTTTTCAACTTTATTTTTTTAAATTTTTACAATTATAAACATTTGTAAATTCTATAAATATTTTATTTACCATATAATACTTTTTACAAACATACATCATTTAATAATAAACTTTAGAAAATGTTTTAATAATACTTTGATTTTCCTGTAACTGTTTTTCATCATGTTTATGATATTTTAAATTTATAATAATTTTCATGTTATTACTCAAGAGCTCTTTTGCAAACAGGACCTTGATTTTCATCATTTTTCAAACAGGACCTTGATTTTCATCATTTTTCAAACAGGACCTTGATTTTCATCATTTTTCAAACAGGACCTTGATTTTCATCATTTTTCAAACAGGACCTTGATTTTCATCATTTTTCAAACAGGACCTTGATTTTCATCATTTTTCAAACAGGACCTTGATTTTCATCATTTTTCAAACAGGACCTTGATTTTCATCATTTTCCAAACAGGACCTTGATTTTCATCATTTTTCAAACAGGACCTTGATTTTCATCATTTTTCAAACAGGACCTTGATTTTCATCATTTTGCCAAAAATAGCACAAAATAGTATTAGTTTTTTAAGTTAAAATTAAATTTGTTTTTAAAGCTCTTAACTTTGCAACGTGTTTTAACATCTAACATCTCTGGCCAGAAGTTTTGTTAAGATATTTTAAAATTTGTTTATTTATTATTATATTTAAACCCGTCACCCATTCTTCAATTTTGAAATTGTAAAAATGGTTCTGATAATTCTACAAATATTCTTTATCACATCAGTACAGAAAATATCAACAATAAAAATAATGAAAAACATATTTATCAATAAAAAAACAGGAGGAGGGGGGAGGGGGGTCTTTAAATAGCATCTTTCAAATTAACAAGTATCTGTTAATAACTAAATAATTTTGAATAAATAACAACTTGAAAAAAAATTAAAATAAAAAACCATACCGAATCATTGTTGTCCAGAATAGAAAAGTTAGTTTTCTGACTAAAGATTAGTTTGCCAACATAAAAAGATGTATGGTTTAGGGGAGTCAAGGCTATAATGTCCCTCTATGGACACACATGCAACCCCTAACACATTGGCCTTAAGATGGACTTGTATTTCAGGCAACTTTTTGAGTCCGCAAAAAATAAGTTTATATAGTGCCGTGGTTAATGGATCAGATGCCCCTCTAAAAACATGTCATTAGGACCCTTCAATCTTTAAAATTTTACCGCTAGGTATTGTTAAAAAAAAGCTCCTTAAATTTGCAAAAGAAACCCTAAATTGGCTGGGTTCCCTGCCCCAAATTTCCCAAATTGGGGGTGTGGACCTAGTCCCGTAGTTCAGGGTTGTAAGCTTGTTTTCAATATTACCAATCTTGCGCTAAACTCATTTTTTACGTATTTAAAAAAAAGGGTGCCTGAAAGAAAGATCTGCCCAATTTATTTTTTAAATAAAAAGTAAATTATGACTATACTGTGATACGATCTCAGGTCTTCTCTGAGGATTTTTTTCGCATTAACTTTTTGGCCAAACGAAATTACAAAACTGCATTAAAACAAATATTTGTTACACACACGCACACACACACACACACATACATATATATACAGAGGAGGAAAGGGGGATGGGTTGAGGGGATTATGATCAACTTTTGCAAACTCTAATTTAAAAAATATTAATAATTTATACAGTTTTTTTTTAATTGAAACTTTTTTAAATGATAAAATTTAAAAAAAAAAAGAGGGGGCATTTTAAAAGCATACATACTTTTTAGAGGGAGGGTAGGGGTAGGGGAAACTTAAAAGTACACATGACAACAGAAGGGAGGGGTCAAATTTCTAAATTTTTGGCATATGGACTTTATGGACGACCCTTTATAAATTAAAAACTAAAACTTGTATAATTCAAATACTTAATTTTTGCTTGTTGTTGCTTTGTTTGTTTTCTTATTTTGGTTCTACCATAGCAGAATTTAATCTGTGTTTTTTTAAAAAAAGCAGATTTGTTCAAAGCTTCTATGAGCAAATTTGCCCTTTTAAAATACATCGATTCAATTAATTTCCTTGTTTCATAGACTTTTTCTTCTATCTTAATAGAGTTACTTTCTTTGTCTCATAGATGTTGTATATTAACTGCATGATATAAAAAACAAGGAAACAAGAAGGTATGTAAAAACTTCGTTGATTTATTCTCACTTTTACAAGCTACATAAATAAATCTTGAATACTTCAAATCAAATTAAAAAAGTGCTCCATCAATAGATGTTTAAGAAAATTGTGAAAGACAATTTTATAGATACTGGCTCTGCTGAGAGCCTCCTCCTCATTTTTTAAAGGTGCCTCCTTTGTATAACCCTGTGTCTCCTTTGTACAACCCTGCCAAATTATGTTTTTGTTGCCTTGCTGTGAAATATCTGATAGAAAATCTATCATCTATTTTCTTTAAATAGATAACAAAACTTGTTTTTATTATTATTTTTAATAAGATCTAAAACAACCTAAAATAAAAATAATCAATTTTATTGATTAAAAATTCATAACAACTCATGATAAAAGTAACTTGTCCTTTTAGTATCAATCAAAATTTTCTAAATTTTCAAGTATTGATTAAAAATTTATAACAATTCATGATATAAATATTATAATTTGAAGTCATAGTTACCTTTAAATATTGCCTGTAGTTTTGATATATAACAGCCAAAAATATACTGACAAATAAATATGTTGCAATTATTGTAAAAACATCAAAATATAACGAATACCAGTTGCTTTGGTTGTACACTGGAATCCTAAATACAAATATAATTAAAATTAAAGAATTACTAGATTGTTTTTATTTTTTTTTAAATTTATAATTCTGAATGTTTTTAGTTTTATTTTTTAACTATAAAACATGTGCGGAGTGTTGCTACATTGACTGACAAATAGCCTGACACGCAACGGAGTGCTGCTACATCGACTGACAAATAACCTGACTCGCACGGGAGTACTGCTACATTGACTGACAAATAGCCTGACTCGCAAGGGTGTGTTGCTACATCGACTGAGAGTTTGGTTTGGGCAGGCAGTCTATCAAATAATTAATAAGTTTTTTTTTCCTGGTCTTTAAAATAAAAAAAAAGTTGACATTTTATGGAATCATAAATAAGTTTATTTTTTATAAAAAACACTTATTTATAATAAAAAACAATTTGTTTTTAAAATTTAAAACACATTTTAAAAACTTTATTTTCTAAAGATTTCTTTCAATAGCGTTACTATTAAGTAAAATACGCTTTCCAAGAATGTAATTATGTTTTAACATGGTTTTTGTATACTTTAACTAAAGCATCTGAAATTATACTTGAAATGAATAAACTTGCAATTACTTTGAAAGTACTTGAAGTAAATGCTTAAAAGCTATGGCATGCTTTTATTTAAATCTTCAAGTGAGGTAATGATTATTTGCACGTTAAAACACTTTTAAAATGATCAAAACGAATTTTTAAGTTTAGAATTAATATGTTTATTATAGTTTTTATTTTTTATTGAGCGTTTAACATCACCAATAATATGATATTTTTATTAAATTATTATTAAATACTTATTTACAAATTTATTTATTTACAAATATTATTAATATTTGTAAATAAATTTTGTGAACTAAATTGAGAAAAATTCATTATTTAGTATCAATGAATTACAATTTACAATCATTAGGTCGTTGCATATTAATTATCATTAATTCGCGTGCACTTTTTAAAAGCGTAAAAAATTGTTTTAAATTATAAAAATTAATTAAATTCAATAAGCATCATTGATATATCTAAAAACTTATTAACTAGAAAAAAAAATTATTTGAAAATTAAACTTCCAATAACATATATCTCTTGATTAGACGCTCATCATTAAATAAAGATATGAACGTAAATGTTCATTAAAAGAAAAAGATTTGTTGCGCCCTGGGCTTGTAACTAACCAAGTATAAAACCAAACTAACATATGTACATATATAATATATATACAGTCAAAGAACAAAGACATGTGAAAATTCTGTCACGCAGATCAAACATGCTGATAAAATAATGACAATAAAATATATAAAAAATCAAAAGGGAAAAGTCAGTGACAAGGAAGATTACCAGAAAAGAATTTAAAAAATATAGAATGAACTATTGTTTTTCAAGGTAAATATAAGTTTGAAATAATGAATATTATATATATATATATATATATATATATATATATATATATATATATATATATATATATATATATATATATATTCGACTGAAACAGAAAAAAAGCTGAAGCCAAAATAAATTGAAATTTCGGGTATTCAAATTTGGTGCGGAAACCAAAACCAACATTTCGACAAATATTTTATCGATACCAAAATATCGGTTAGTCAAAATTTATTTTATTAGAAAAATTTATTTAAAAATGCAATTTTACATCTATTATTTTTTTATACTCGTATTATGTTAGAACTAATTACATGTGTATTCCAAATTGAGATTTAACACATAAGTTGGCAATATAAGTTAATAGCAAAATTTAACAACTGGCAGATTTTCTCTGCAAAACAAGATTTTTTCAAGGTATTTTGTAAAATTCTCAAAATGTTTTGTGAAAATTCTAAAAATAACTGTTGTTCTAAATTAGATAAAAGCCGGTTTTCGGTAGGTTTTTCAACAGAAATTTTGCTTTTTACAGAATTTATAAAAAGTACCGAAACATAAATTTTGGTATTGGTTCAAATTGAAATTTCGGCCGAAAGCAATACCAAAACAGAATTTTGGTCGATCAATAATATATATAAGCCTTGGCGGGTAAGCGAGAGCTAACGCTCTCGCTCTCGCCCACTCCCCTAAAACAGTTTATGGGAGCAACTTATGGCTCTCGCTAAAGTATAATTTTTTTTTTCAAAAGATAATTATCATTGTAACTAAAATAAAAAAGGTAAGTCATTATAATAACTATTTTTAATAATTCTTAAAATTCATTATATTACAATAAGAAAGATCAAAAACCTTTTTATATGCAGTAAAAACAACGCTTATCTAAAGAACTTTCTCATGATGCAATAAATGACACTTGTTATTATTCTTTTAATATTAATGTAACAAACATATGCTTGACATAGCACAACAAATCTACGAAATTGCAAACTTTTCTTAAAAAAAAGACAGAAAAATTTACATCATGTTTTTATATTTTTGCATATACAAAATTTTTATTATAAAAAACACATATTTATGATAAAAAAACAATTAGTTACTAAAATTTAAAACACATTTTAAAAACTTAAAAAGAAACCATGCTAAAACATGATTATTTCTTTCAATGGCGTTATTATTAACTAAAGTCATAGTCATAAAATTCTGCGATCTGTTTTTTCTGCAATCTGTTTTTATGATTATGGTAAAATAACTAAGTATGCTATCAAAGATAGTAATTATGTTTTAACATGGTTTTTGCGTGCTTTTTTCAATGCATGCAAAGTTTTACTTAACTCTTTCAATACCAGTCAGGGTATGATTTTTTAGTAAATGTGACCACGCTAAATACGGCATTCAATTATTTTACAAATATATTAAATAAAAATAAACTAGAAATTATTTTACAAGATTTTTTTCAAACGTGAACCAATGGTACCTATCAATGTAACATAAAAAAATGTTAAGTTTAAGATCCAAATCCAAATAGTTCAAAAGTTATGACATTTTAAAATTCAGCCTAAAATGACCTATTTTTTTCCACATTCGACATTAAGAACTTTATATTACTACTTTTTAATGGATTATTTAAGATCTAGTGGAACCTGACCATTTTTGAAGGTGTAAAAATTTAAATTTTTTTTTGAAGGTGTAAAAATTTAAATTTTTTAAATTAAAAATTGAAGTGTAAATAATTTAAATTTTAGTTGAGAAACTGATTGAAAATTCATAGCTAACCATTTTTGAGGATGCTGAATTTAAAGTAGAAAAGAAAATAACCTAATTCAAAATGTTTGATAACTGTTTTAATAAACCTAATTCAAAATATTTGAGAAAATGTTACCCTGATAAATCAGGGTAACATTTTCTCTAATTCCTGGAGTTTCCTGACAATTATGAATTCAGTTTTGATGTGTAAAACATTTTTTTGAGGTTGGTTTTGATACATAAATAACGTTTTGTAGAGTGAATTGTCATGTAAAAATACAGTTTTGCCATCTGCTGTGATGTATAAATATAGTTTTGTGATGCCAGTTATGTTTTATAAATATAGTTTTGAAACACCAGTTGTATAAACATAAAAACTATTTTAATTTTAAATTAAATAATTATTGAGTCTTATTTGGTAATTCAGTTTTTCAGTAATGGCAAACAGCCAACAGTTCTCTATTAGAATCAAGCTAGAAGGTGAATACCATCTTGCAACATATACATTGTTGCTTAGAATTGAATCTTTTAAAGATATTCCTGAATATGAAAGAGAAATATTAATGTGGAGGACTGGGCTATCAATAACCAATATCAAATCAATAACTTGTCTCCATCATAAATATGTTTATTTGAAGAGTTATGCAACTAAATTAACACAGTGCTGCAATCCATTTAATACTCTTAACAAAAGGTTTAAAATGTATTTATAATAATAACAATATTTAGTTTTGTGAAAGTGTTGTGAGTTACAATAATGAAATTTTCGGCAGCCAAATTCTATTTTAGTTATATTTAACCTTACTTTTAGCTGTCTTCTGAAAGTGCTCTATTAAACTTTAAACTTAAAATGGTTTTATTGACATTTTTATAGATCTTAAAAGAGTTCTTCCCTTTTTTTAGGCAGTCTTTGTGAAACCAATTTCGATACAGCAAAGTACCTATGCAGTAAAAGCTAATTCGTAGTGCCAGGTGAAAAGCTTTGTCTACAATGCAGACATAAATTAGCATCAAGTGAAAAATTAGAAGAAAACGAGTTGGAGATAAAATTACCTGAAGATAATATGGAAAAATAAATTTACTGGAATCAACAAGATCATTGCTCAAAAGTACTGTGTGAACTTAAAGTGTCTCCTCTAAAAGTTCATTTACCCAAAACCTCTAACAAGCCTTTACTTAAAAAGAGAAAGAGAAAGCAAATTGAAGAACCAGTTATTATTGAAAAGGTTGAAGAAGCAGTTATAAAGAAACTTGCAACTGCTCTGGATGTCACTGAAACTGATCTTGTTGCACCAAACAACAATGAAGTTCTAAAGAAAATTCAGAAAGCTGGCGATCTAGATTTCCTTGTTGAATACATGAAAGAAAAACTTTAAGTTTCTAACAGAAGGCAACGACTTAAAATTTTGACATTAACCCTAAAATCTTGGTCTATCAGAAAAGCAGCAAAAATGTTTTCAGTTTCCAAACACAAAATTCAAAATGCAAAGTTGTTATGCAACCAAAAAGGCATCATAGCATACCCTGATGTGGTTTAACAGCATCGAATCAGCAAAGATGTTTTAGAACTTGTAAAACTTTTTTACTGTGATGATGAGTATTCAAGGCTGGAAAAAAAGGCTGAGTAAGTGTTGGGGAAAAAAATACATGTCAAAAAAATTGATCTTGTGTAACTTAAAGGAGCTCTATGTTGCATTTAAGATAACGTATCCAAACCATAAAATTGGATTTTCTAAATTTTGCAGCCTTCAACCTAAATGGCTTGTTCCAAAAGGTACACATTCTGTTTGTATGTGTACAATAAACCAAAATATTAAATTAATGTTAAGTGCTGTAGGCCTTGAAACATCTTACAATAAAATCATTGAAAAGATTGTCTGCAG